TTTAAGATTAACTCACAAAAACCGTTTTTATGGTACCTAATTTGGTCGAAATAATTTGTTTAAGTTGTATCCACATAATAATATTTATCTTTATTCAAATAAACAAATAAATATGTTGTTGGTTAAGAGTACTTCATTATGAATTAAATAAAAACATAGGTTTTATCTTGAAAATTCTACGGGAACTCGACCATTCCGAAAACTCTCTTCCGAGACCATGTCTCACTCGCTCTGGAACGCATGTATAGTGCCCTCCGCTCATACTCATAGTTGAGTCATTTTTGTGTTTAGGGGATGTTTGGTCATTACCATTTGTCTGACTGATTAAATATAACTTTGTAATATTTATTTGAAATATAAAAATCAGACATTTAAAATTAAATTAAGTTCATTTATTTTTTGTAGAGCTTTAAAGCGTCTGACAAAAGTTCTGGCCCATGGAAAGCGTCAGATTTTTTTGATATTACTTCAGAGTATTATTCTACAAAATATATATAAAAAAAATCAGTAATTTAAATTTAACTTAAGTAATTCTGATTTTTAGTTACCTTTCTCACCTGGTACCTGCGCAGGTGTCACCGAGCCAACTCCACAAGCGTACAGGTATTAAAAAGTACATGAGAGACTACTTGGAACCGAAAGTTCTATGCTTTAGAAAATAAGTTGTGTCTTATCGCTCTGAGATCTTACTCTAAATGTTTTGCCTGTAATTTAACTAACTGATGTAGCCATTAATGCCTTCAATTTTATGTGTTTTGTTGCTTCTTTTTTTTAAAATTTGTTTCGTTTAATTATATTTATGTTAGATTTTATTCATAACTGCCGAAGAAAGTCGTCAGTATACGTTTTTAATGTTAATTAGTCATTTTTTTAATTTTAATAATATGTGTCTAATTACCAGTGGAAACTTAGCTGATATATGTAATTTTGTATAATTATATCCCATAAGTTTATCTTATTGTTTGTTTCCCTAAAATAACATACATACATTGCAAGTGAAATAATGACTTGTAAAAGTTTTTGCATTCATTGTATACAGGGTGACTGGTGAATTACTATCAATATTTAAGGAGAATACTCGGTACATGATTCTCATTCGAATTATGTAAAAAAAATAGGTACTTAATTTTTGACCAAATTTCCGTGTAAATAAATAAAGTGTGTACACGTTCCAAGTGCTCCAAGTGTGGACGCGTGCGGCGACGTGCTGATACAACAACACGCCGCCGCCGCGTCTGTGTGAGTGTGTGTGTATACCTAATCTGTAGGGTGTTCATACGATGCGTAATTAATTACACAACTTTTGGTTAACTTTACTTAGAAGTTTATTAATATTTATGTTATATTAATTTTTATTTTGTCATATATGATCGTCAAATATCACGTCCTCAAATATCGATAGTAATTCACCAGTCACATAAGAAACAGTCATGACGGGCAGACGAGATGTGTATGGTATAAAATATATTTAGGCACATATTGATAATAAATTTCTGAATTTAATTTCGTAGCAACCCAAGTGCGAACTTGCACTAAATACCTTATGATCTCTCAGTAAAACATAAAATCTGGACCGCGTTATGTACAGATTGTAAGTTCTATTCTTGTTAAATGTATGTAATACATCTATCACCCTTAGCACGGTTATACATTCAATAATATCATATAATAAGTTTGACATCACCAACCCTTCTTGAGTGAGCGTGGAGATTAATGCTAAAACCTTCTCCATGTGAGAAGAGGCTCAGCAGTGGGCTCTGATAGGCTGATGATGATGGAAACATCTCATATAATCTCCTATATTATGAATATGCATTGAATATATTCATATAATTATGATTTCCCAGGTCGGTGGAAGACGCCAAAGCGAGGTTGTCGGAGGTGTAGCGAGCTCTGAACAGCACCGAGCTGGGTTCAGACTTGAGATCCTGCAAGAGACTGCTGCTACTACACCAGGTGGTTACATCACATACTAGCTGTTTACTGCGACTTCATGCGTGTATTAGGAATTACTCAGATGGTGATTAATGTGTATCTAACATAACGGATGTCATTATGAGGTCTAAATTGCTTTATAAAAGAGTTTTATCAAAATCAGTTAGGATAATTTACTTGTAAGACCAACATTATCCATACATACCTACTAGATATACTATATACATATATATAGTATTGCTTTTCAAATTATTATGTGTCGTAGTTATGCCAGCTAACTGATATAATTTGAGGTAACTGTCAGTGTGAGAGTGATGATGTGGTTTTAAAGATTTCTTTTTTTGCTAAGATTATTTTTATAAAATCAAAGTGTAAAGAGCTCATTGCTGGTGCTTTTATAACTAGATTTAAATTAAGGGTTCCGCAGGCGAGAAAACAATTTGTTTTAAAGTAAAACAAGTAGAATTATATTGTTTAGAAATGTGTATTGATAAAAACAATTATTGTTTACAGAAAAATGCGATTTCGTCCTTGTTGTATTTACTAGAACATAATATATCTATATTTATATAATATTCAATAGTGACATAAATGTCTACAGGCTCTGCAACAAGAGTTGAGTCAATGCGAACAACGAGCGGAGTCCCTTGCAGCCCAGGGCTCCGACCTGGTCTCCAGTGGTCACTTCGACGGGGCGGCCATCGAGAGAGACTCCGATGCGCTGCTGCAGGCCGCCCGGGCGCTCCGCCCTCGAGCGGCCGAGAGGAGACAGGCGCTATAAACTAGTCTACAGTCAGTATACGATATAACTAAAAGAAAATATGATTCAATACAACATTATATTAGAAATGATTAACGGTTGAACAATATACAGGGTGACTGGTGAATTACTATCAATATTTAAGGAGCATACTCGGTACATGATTCTCATTCGAATTATGTAAAAAAAATAGGTACTTAATTTTTGACCAAATTTCCGTATAAATAAATAAAGTGTGTACACGTTCCAAGTGTTCCAAGTGTGAACGCGTGCGGCGACGTGCTGATACAACAACACGCCGCCGCGCGCGAGTGTGTGTGTGTGTAGTATACCTAATCTGTAGGGTGTTCATACGATGCGTAATTAATTACATAACTTTTGGTTAACTTATTTTGTCATATATGATCGTCAAATATCACGTCCTCAAATATCGATAGTAATTCACCAGTCACCCTGTATATGTACATATGTAATACATATTACATATATATATATATATATATATATATATATATATATATATATATATATATATATATATATATATAATTGAGCCGGGACCGGTATAAAGATTAAAATATTTACTGTAAAGGGCCATAGATCTATTTTAAATTTATTAAAGTTATTTAATTTTAAATGTATTAAAGTTATTTAACTGGATAAGGATTCTCCCCTTATTTATGGATATCATTATACATACAAACCTTTCTCTTCAAACAATCTATCTTTCAAAAAAAACTGCACCAAAATCCACTGCGTAGTTTTAAGTTATTAAGAATGCATACGTATATAAGGGCAAGAAAAGCAACTGTTTTATAATTTATACCATATTAGCTGCGCCCCGCGGTTTTACCCGCGGATTTCCGAGATTTCCGGGATGTAAAGTAGCCTATGTGTTATTCCTGGACGTCAGCTTCCTGTACACAAAATTTTATCAAAATCGGTTCAGCCGTTTGAGCGCAAAGAAGTAACAAACATACATTTTCCTGTTTATTCATTAGTCTTAAATTGTACCCAAATAATGTAGCACCTGACAAAAATATTGTTTTTGTAATGATTATGCCGTAACCCATACTTAGGAATATAATCAAGCTAAAAATAATTTTAGACTGTAATTCATATGTAATCCGGATTATATTCTGTTTGTGTGCCTAAATAATAAATAAATACATAAACACTCACAAACTTTCGCAATTATAATATTAGTAGGATAGTAATAGTACATAATCAATTTGAGGACTAATTTTATTCATCCAAATCCTCCACAGACTACACAAGTTCGCTGCCGAGGTTTCAGGAGAGCTAGCTTGGGTGTCGGAGCGCCAGGCCCCCGCTTCATCTGCCACGCGCAGAAGAAACACGCCAAGATGAGGGCGGAGCTCGAGGGTCGGAGGCCTGTCGTGGAGAGGGTGCTCCAACGGGGCAAGTAGCTGGACACGCATCCACAGGCTGGGAAGGTGGCCTATATATATATATAACTCACATTCTCATTATATGTCCCATTGTATTTGTAGTGATTATATGTAGGTATTTATTTCTAAGAGAGAAACACGCGTCCGTTCGATAGTGCAGAACTGACGTATAGTAAAAAACCTCCATCTTACCAACGTCATAGTATCATAGTTAAATTCATTCTGGATCTCCACACCATACCTTGGTTCATCTGAAATATTATATACAGCTTGCATAATTAAATTATTCTTGGACAAAGTTCGGCTAATAATTTAATTTTTTTAATATTTTTTGAGTGAATTCTTGAAGTAAAACTTCTCATGCGACTACCAACAAGGTTGCGTTAAACGTTCGACGTAGGGAAAGAAAGATACACAAATGTAGAAAGTAGGAGAGAGATTGAGAGTAGATTCCAAGCACATGTGCATAGTACTGTTGCTTACGGCGAAGTAAACAGTGTGAACGCGACATTAACTGAAACACCAATTTGTATTATATTAATTTATGTATATACATATAATTCATTTCCTCAGTCAGTTGTGGCCTAGTGGTTAAAAGTCCCGCCTCTCATGCATGAGGGCGCGGGTTCGGTCCTGGCAAGTACCAATGTGATTTTTCCGAGTCATATGTACTTTATAAAAGTATTTAGACATCACTGATTAATGCATTCCAAAAGAGGGTTGATGTCAGGCAGGCTTCCGGTCGTAAAAACAATTAGGCAAAACTATTCACACATCTTAGGCAGACCCTGGCTAAAGCTGGGAAATTGCCAGGAAGAAGAAGATTAATTTATGCATATACATATAATTTATTTCCCTACTCCACTCACTAAACTATAACGATCACATTCCAGATCAAGCAGCTGTGCCAGGAGCTTGAAGAGGCGTACTCCCCTGTATCATCAGCGGCGGAGGAGCGCGCGGCCCGGCGGGAGGCGGCGCTCAAGGCCCAGCAGTTCCTGCATGACGCAGCGGAAGTCGACTCCTGTCTGGCTGACAAGGCCGCCGCACTGGCTTCCGGTGACGTCGGCAATGATAGGCATAGAGCGACGCAACTACTCACACGGCATAAGGTAATATATATATACATCGCTAAGAATTAGATTTTCGTCATATGACTCAATTTTTGAGCTACAAGAAAGGATAAATCATATATGTAAATCATATATGTAAGTCATCAAGTGACTTATGAAGTGAAAATTTATCAGTTATATTGAGTAGGATCAAATATTTATAAAACATATATTAAAAATAGGGGTTGGTGATAGAAGAGTGATAATTTAGGGTTGTATGTATTTTATAATGCCACATTATGAAAGGTTGTCCAAAAAATTAAATAAGGTGTTAAAAGTGGGCCGCCCTTATAGTTAGGGGTAGTAGCCAATTGTTAAAATTATTGAATATGCATATAAAGTTTCATAAAAATCGGTTAAGCCGTTTGGCAGGAGTATGACATCTAACATATATACATATATATGGACTTAAATCAGAAGAAGTTGTCATTATTTAAATTTGTAACACTTTCAATTAACAGAAATATAATAATACAGAGTATATTCAGCATTATCTTACAATTCCTCTTTAACCTACCAACAGGCCGTAGAACTCGAGTTGGACACATACGCGGCGATCATAGCGGAAATGGGTCACGTGGCGCAATCCATGGCTTCCGGTGGTCATCCTGAGGGCGCCGCGCTGGTCACCAGACATGACCAGCTGGCTGGCAGTCTGGCTAGGCTGCAGAGACTGGCTGCGAGCAGGCAGGCCGCGCTAATGGAGAGTGTGTGCAGGTGAGAGATACTATATATATATATGATATGTATGTATATATATATATATATATACATATCATATTCGTCGCACTACTTGTAATCAAGAAGGGCTATAAGAATTTGTAAATTTGTTTCGAGGTAGTTTAGAAACAGGAGACTGACGTAGCATACTTTTCATCAAGCGAGGTCGAAATTTAAATAAATAACTACTTAACAAAGACTTGTTATTTACTGCTTCTTAAGCGTTACACAGTAACGCCTTTCTATTCCTGAAGTTGATTATGAAGAAGTTGCTGACAAAGACTAGTATATGTGTGTTATAGGAATATATAAATAGGATATCCTCTAAAAATATGTGTGTCTATCCTTAGACATGAATATCTGGCTGAGAGCGCTGAGTTGGAGGAATGGGTTGCGGAGCAGCAAGCAGCCGCCTCCAGTGAAGACTACGGACAAGACTATGAACACTTACTGGTGAGTAACGATATGTAGATGATGATGATGATGATGATGAGAGGGTGCTCCAGCCATCACACTTGGTGATGGAGACATTATTCAGTTATATCTTCAAATACTACGCTTTTAAACTTCACGGAAATCCGTTCAGCAATCCTATTTTTAGAAACTAACGAATGAATGCTAAATTTCATTGAAATTTAAGTCAATTTGAGCATTTAGTTCGTAATTTAGGGTTTTTTTTAATTCTTGTATCTCACAAGGATGTGCAAAGATTAGCATGTCATAATATTAAATATACCTAAAGTTTTACAGCTTCATTAAAATATCCTCCAAAACCATTTAATTATATCTATAATCTAAGACATCATATTTCCCCAACCACAGATCCTTAGGTCCAAGTTCGAAGAGCTCTGTCACCGTGTAGAGAGTGGGGCGGAGAGGTTCAACCAGTGTGAGCAGCTGGCCAAGAAGCTGGTCGCCTCAGACAGCCCATACATCGCTGACATTGAAAAGAGACAGGAAGTACTCGGGTGAGGAGAACTTGGAAAATGACCCTTAATAACATAGATATAGGATCTAATATAGATACTCAACATGTTCGAATCAAATTTATACCAAAGAATATTGAGACTTAATGACATGTATACAGGTATAGAATCTAAATAAGACATTCCACAAATGCAAATAAATTTGTACAAGTTAAAATAAGACTTAATAACTAGATATGGAATTTAATTTAGACAAAGAAAAATGAGACTTAATAACATACACTTAAGATCTAATTCAAAAATTCCACATGTCATTTAAAACAAGGCAAAATGAATTTTAATTACATATTTATTAGATCTAATTTACATAATCCACAACTCAAATACAATTCATATATTCCAGCGAGTCCTGGCAGCGTCTGGTAGAACAGATCCAGTCCCGCAGCCAGCGCCTGGCTGCTCCTGGCGAGATCCACCGCTTCCACCGCGACGCCGGGGACCTGCTGGCGGGGGCCGGGGAGCGCCGGACCCGCCTCGCCCCACCCCCCGCGCCCCTCGACCTGCGCGCCGTCACCGCCCTCTTGAGGGACCACGACGCAGCCGAGAACGATATGGTCGCTATAGACGCGCAGACTTGAGAAAATTATGACTTTAAACATATTATGAATTTTAAATTAAAACTTCGACAATCATAATAAATGTTTCACTAGGTAGTTTAACATATTCTTACAATAAATTTTGCTTTAAACATGAAATTTAAAATATTCACCCTCGAAGCAACAATAATTGTGTACAAAACAGTGATAAGAAATGCAAACTCATAGACTTATAATGAAATCTAAGATTTTCGCGAGTATTCATTTAAATCAAACTAATATTTCTTGGATGAACGTTTTGATAAAAAAATACATATTTCCGACGTTTTGTTTACTTTCAGTTCTATACTACAGTATCATGATCACGGGCAGACGCTATGATAAATATTAGTTTCATTTAAATGAATACTTGTCAAAATCTATTTCATAATATCAGAGCTCCTCCTTTAATGTAGCCTAATTCTGCCTAAATAAGATTTTAACTGATTTTTGCAGTATTTTATACTTGTAGTAATATACTTCCTGGCCCGGGCAAGTACCAATATGATTTTTCCGAGTCATATGTACTTTCTAAGAATATTTAGTTATCACTGATTAATGCATTCCCAAAGAGGGTTGATGTCAGGCAGGCGGCCTGTCGTAAAAACAATTAGCCAAAACTATTCACAACATGTAAGGTAGACCCTGGCTAAAGCTGGGAAGTTGCCAGGTAGAAGAGATAGTTGTAGTGATATTAAATCTATTTCCAGGTGCTCCAGGAGGAAGGATCTCGTCTCCAGCGGTTACGCCCCGGCGGTAACTCCCAGCAGATAGCGCTGAGCTGCAGATCTTAGGAGGAAACTGCTGCACCAACACCTGGAATTACAGACCTTCCTATCCGAGGTATTACTGTGGGATTTCACTATTATACAAAACCTTTATGATCTGATAGTGTTTTAATATATTGCTACGTTTGATTAATCTATCTAATTTATATGTATTTTCTTTATATACTAATTAATTATTAACGATTTTACGCCTATAAATAATGTATCCTTTATGATATTTTATTTCCATTAAGACATTATTACCACTTATATGAGAAACTTATAACAAAAACTTTTATAAATATACAGTTCGACATCGCACTTGTAACAAAAATTAAATGCAATAACGTTTAATTAAGAGATATTTTTCTATATTAAGCACTAATTTAATGGTTGTCTTAGTTTTGATTATTATTTATTATTTAATATATACTATCTGCCCCGCAAACGTTGTTTTGTCATATCAAAAGCAGGGGTTGGTGATAAAAAAATTAATATTTAGGATTTTATGTATTTTCATATGCCACTTGTTAAAAAAATAAAAACAAAACCTTTCGTCCAAATCAAAACAAAAATTAGGGGTGAACAGCCCCTATCACTTAGGGGAAGGAAAAATAGATGTTGGCCGATTCTCAGACCTACTCAATATGCTTACAAAATTTTACGAGAATCGGTCAAGCCGTTTCAAAGGGGTACGGGAACGAACATTGTGACACGAGAATGTTATTTATAAGTTATATATATCATGAATATCGTTCCCCAGCTCCGTGACGTCATCTCGTGGTCGTCATCCCCAGCTGCCGCACGCTCAGAGGGCGCCTCACGACGCGCTGAGGGCGGAGATAGCTGTTAGTACACACTGGAACAATATTATACTATGAAAAACATGTTAGCAATACTATATGGGATTAAAAGTTATATTTTTTCTATTTAATAAGTGTTTATAGTAATTTTTTATAACTTAAATTTTTCAGTTAAAGTTTGACATTTTCTTTCAATACTAATGTACCTATATTCGTTTTTTTGAATCATTCGAATATAATTTATAGCATGGCTTAAGTGTTTTTCATAATGAATATAAAACAATTTTAAAAGAATGCTTTAATCACAATTCAAATAAAGATACCAAATATGTATGATATATTCGTTCTATGTATATTAACAAAAATGTGATGATAACTTTGTCTTAGCTAATTGGCTGTATTTTTGTCCAATAGAACTGCAAAACCTATTTTTATGAAATAGATTACGTTAGATATCAATTGAACCTATGTGTTTTTAGTGTGACTTCTGACCTCACGATATATTTGTATATTAATCTTTGTATTAAGTATTCTCACTTTTGTTTTTGTTCAAAATAATTTTTGATGACAGTTTGATCAGTAAATAAAAATCATTTAATCTTAAGTATTGTTGTTTATTGGTTCTGAAAGAAGAAATCTTTTGAAAATGTCTAACATATTCTAAAGATTTCTTGCCTTCCAAGGTTCGTTACTTGTTTTCGTTTCGTTACATCTGGGAAACACCTGAAAAGGGAATAAAATTTAAGAACAGTAAAAAATCTGGTAAATTACGTAACTGCAATCAATTTCAAAGTTAAAGAAAAAGGAATTGTAAAGGTGGCTAAATAAAACTATGAACTATTTAAATCACTTTGATGATAAATTACAGACAGCTTTAATCGAACTTGTTTGAAATTTTCAGCTTTGATATGACGACCTAGCAAATAATAGTCACACAGAATTAAAACATTATCAAATAAAAACTGTTTTTATGAATTAAATGTGAGAGTTCCGTCATTAAAGTCACTTTAGAGACGTCGTTGTGTAAACGATGTCACATTACTTTAAATATTTCACGAGTGACAAACAGATGTAAGCTATTTCATATCTCAACAACACTACTTACACTGGAAAACCAATTAAAATTAATTTCCTCATACTCGTATACCTACTACTAAAGTGATATCAGAACTTCCAATAACACATTTCACGAAGGAAATATTTTAAATACAAACACATATTTAAACTGTGATTGTTTATATGTATTACGAGTAGCTACTCAAGCTACTTACAGCTGTAAGTAAGAGGGAGACGATGGAATAATAATCACTGACGTGTTCTATAAATTTGGTTTTAGTTTCTTTAAAATTTTCCTTTTAAAATCAAACAATACATTTTTTTTCTTTGCTGTGTAATATTTGAACCATGAATATAAAGTTCAACACAAAAAAATAAATAACGCAATCTTCGTCATCCGCCCTGAAAGTTTAATGATCATGTAACATCTCTGAAAGAACTTCAGCAGAAAACAGAACATTTCATAAACGACCTTATGTATTATAATTTTATTGCTGTTCGTTAGTGTCACCAAACCTTGACAACGGCTGAAACGATTGGAATGTTTAAAAAGGTCAATTAATATGAAAATACTTTCGTTTTCACTTTGAAGTGATTAGAAATCAACTTAAAAGAATAGTTTAGAATGAATAACTAATAAGAATTTTTTATATCTTTCTAACTACGTAATCATCTTCATTAGGTTAAAAATAAACGTATTTTTTTACTACTTACATTTGGTAGCACAATCATATTAACTTAGTATCAGATTGTTTATATTTCAGTAGAACAATTTTAAATTTCTGGACGCAAACATAATATTTGACGTTTGACAAGCATCTAATTTGTCGATCCATCCTCTATGTCAATTATTATCAATCGATACTTGAGACAAATAGTTCATTACCGGTGATAGTGACATTTGAAGTTATGTACTGGTTTTTTTTTGTCGTTCGTTAGATTTCAATAAAAAGTAACTATGTATTATCCATACCTCCACACATACAAACTTTCGCTTTTATAACATTGAAGGATTCTGATGCGGAAGATGGTAAGCAAACGTTTGCATGTTCTATGGGTTTCATTATTTCGATTGGTATGGAAATGGTTTAATAGTCAAACCGGTGAAATAATTAAAAAACCTTTTTTTATTATTAATTAGTCATTCTCTGGACTGAAATTTATGAGGCAACTAATGAAATTTAAATAAAACTTATATTTTGCGGATATACTAAGTGACTTTATGTTTGATAAAAACTACATACTCCCGACGCACTATGGGAAAGTCAAGGCCATCTAAAAACCCTTTCACATGAAAGTCGTTGTTATGGAGTAAAACTAATTTATAAATTAAGTCTTATAAATAAGCTTTCTTTTATATCTATTTTAAATATTTTTTTTTTGCAAACAGTAATGTACATAATTATATAAAAAGGTATCAAAGATAACTCATGTTCAATGATGTAATTTTGGAACAATACATAAGAACAATTCGACGCCACATTACTCGAAAGTTTTTGATATAAATGTATAAGTATTACATATTTTGAAATGACTATAATCTCCTTATAACGTTTCTTAAATAATAATATGTATAATAAATAAATTCCAACTAACCAATATATGTATATAGTTTAAGCTGGTATCATTTTGGGGTTACTTTTTTTTTAACGAGACCTAACCCTTTACCGCTGTCGAGATATTTGTTGTATTACAATCTTTATATTTACATAATGAAAAAAGTTGCTCCTACTTGCGCCTTTTCTGATACGGTGGCCAAAACATACTGAAATATAATTTTATTTATTTTTATTTTTTAAATAAATTAATAAACACAATTTTCAAAATTATTATTTTTATATTAAACCTTATACTTTCAGGTATATGTGTGCAAAATCACAGATCATTCAGTTTTGGAATAACTGAGATACGGAGGTTTGACATGAAATATACCCGATTTTTCCATAGTGCGACGTGTCTGACGTGGTTGCTGTACAGTAAGTATTTGTAGTTTTTGTCAAAAATAAGGTCGCGTAGTATATCCTCAAAATATTAGTTTTATTCAAATGACTCGCGAATATGTCAAATCTCATTATGCAATATAATTATTGTCATATATTGAATATAAAATATATTTCATCAAATAAGCATCTCAGTGGAGTTCGTTATATATCGGGATCTTAACACTCTAAACGTCAGTGACCTCAGGAACCACTCAAACCTTATACAGAACAAACTTCAATAGCAGTAACTGCTTATGGTATTTATATTTACATGTTCAAGAATATAATGTTTATTAAACTGTAATAATTAACTCATCAACAGACGATGATATCTTCTCATTACTAAATTAATATGCTTCGTTTAATAAACCAAGTCCTTGTTGAATATTTTATGT